AAATGAGAGAACTGGCCCAAGGTCACACAGCTACTGAGTGATAGATTTGGCATTCAAACCCAGATTTGTCTGACCTTCAAACCAAGCTCTTGGTTTAAGATGAGGAGAGTGATAGTACTTGGCTCCTTGGATTGTTGTAAAGATTAATTGAAATAATCCACAGAAAATGAGTTCCTGTTGCCTAGCACTTCGTGGGTGCTCCATAAATATGAAGTGGGTGAATAGTGCTGACATAGCTGCCACTGCTCTTACTACTGAGCTTTGGCTACTGTTCTTTGACAAGTGCCATTGACTATCCTGAGTTCTCTACGCGCCTCTTGTTTGCGCCTGAAAAGCGTCCGAAGGTCAGAGGCCTGGAAGCAAAGCCTCCACTCAATGATGCAAACCATTCCAGCCACAGAATTTTGAGAGTGTCTTTGTGACATTATGTAGGCATAAAAATAGTGGTGATCATAACAATACTGTGCTAATACCTTACATTTATTATTTAGTAGAAAAAGCTCTTCAACTCTCTTTTTCTTTCAGGCATCTAAGGTCTATTTGAACATTTTGGTGTTTCTAAACGTTTATCCGGATAATGGGGGGGTCCATGTTCTCTGCTTTGTTTATTGCTAAAAACATGTGAGGCATTCTGTGGGGAGGGTGCCTGAGGACGTAAGCCAAGTTCAGGGTCAAGAGCTACATTAGACCCAACAAAGGCAAAGATTTAGCGGCAGGTGGTGCCTCTTGCATACACTTTCACTTCCAGCCAAAACGATGTCCTCAGCAGACTCCATCACATTGGAGAGAGAGCTGGGAAATCCAACAATGACTCATAGTGTGCTGGGGAGGAAAACTGAGCACTGAGGTTTGGAAAAAAAAAAGACAAAGCAATGGAATGTTACCCTAGAGTCTAAACTAGCAGGAATCTTCATGTCTTCCCCCTTCCCACTGACATTTCTTTGTGGATTAAGACTGCTGGCTTTGAAGGACAAAGTCATCATTGTCCAGCCATGTGACCTTGAATAAATTGCCTTGGGCAAAAGACTCTGAGGATTACCCCTCTGAAACCTTAGTGTTCTCTTCTATAAATTGAAATTTTAAAAATGTCCAAAGTAAGGTTGTTATAAAGTTTGATGAAGTAATAAATCTTGTTGACTGACACATTTGTGCTACTCAAAAAATGTTGATTTCTGTTGGTGCAGGGAGGAGCATATTTAAGTTACCGGCATTCCTTTTTCTTTTGATAGTGTTTACAGTTTACGTTCTTGTTGGGACTAGGAAATGCATGTCTTTGGAGGCACTTTAGATCTGTGTTTTCAGGATAATCTCATCTATGTGATCAGAAACACTCTCCTTAGGGATAGAACTTCTAAGCAATTTCTTGAAAACTGAAGGATGACTGAAAGGTGTCTGAGAAAATAAGTGCCAGAATGGAATAAGTAGTTTCTTCAGGGAGAGCTAATGGTTCAGTAAAAGCCTGGCATTGAGAGAGAACAAGGCACCTTGGAGAGGGTGAGAAAGCTGGGGAGGCTGAAGAAGAGTGAGGAGGAAGAAGGGCGGGGGGTGGAGCCCGTTGCGGAGGCTGTGGATGTTGAGGCTAAGCTTTCTTGGGGGACTTAGACTTTATCTTCAGGGCATTAAGAAGCCAGTGAAGAGTTTGCGAGTGATGAGAACCATATATAATTCCTATTAATAGATAGATTTCTTGGACTGCTATCTGGAGAAAGGATGGGAGGCAGCAAAAATGAAGCAGACTTGGGCAAAGATAGGTAAGAAAACCACCCCACAACTGGCGAGGATTCTAATATAATGGGATTCTAGAAGATTAGGCAGAGGTTTGGTTTGTTTGGTTTTTGTTTGGCCGTGTGTGTGTGTGTATGTTTGTGCGTGTGTGTGTAGATGTATGTGATTTCCTTTTAGTATTTTTTCCTATTCATATACACTTTTTGATCAAAATACATATACTTTTTTTTTTAAACCTCATGTATTTTCTATAATTGTCCTATGGAACTATTTGTATTTTGTTTTAAATATCAAACGAAATATCAGGAGGAAAAGGTAGAAAAACAAGAGTAAATAATTATTTATATAGTTCTATTTCTCAGAACTATACCGCTGTTACCACTTTGGTTTCTTTCTTTCTGTTATTTTTGTTCTCTCTGTATATTCATAGGTCTTCTGTTCAAAGATTTGTAATAGTACCTATGCACTGTTGCTGTGTGCTTTTTCTTTAACCTCATATTATATCATAAGTGTTTCCCCTATTATGTTTTAGAGCAAATAATGGCCAAACAATATCCATTAAGCAGTTGTACAATAATTTATTTAACCCCCTTCTCTCCTATTATGGTATAATTAAGCTGTTTCTATTTTTTCCTAGTATAAATGAGATTACATTGAAAGTTTTGTGCATAAGCCTTTATCCCTATTTAGGATTATTTCCTTAGGATAGATTCCCAGAAATGGAATTATTGGATCAAAAGGTCTGTATGTTTTATGCCTTTCTTGGTACATGCTGCCAAACTGCTTTCCAAAAGGTTGTGTGAATTTACACTGCCCCGTCCCTGTATAAAAACAAAATCCTGGGGAATGTAAGTTCCCCCACAGTCAGGCACCTTTTGTCCCTGGAACACAGACAGAGCCACAGAATCTCAGATTTGGAAGTAGCTTTAAAGGTTAGTGAAGCTAACCTCTGCTGTGAAGAGAGCGTCAAAACTTGTTCCACAATGGTATTGGCAATTGTACCATTTTTGAGTTGGGTGGCACCTCAGAGGTCATTTTGCATAAATGCCCCAAATTGCCTACACAATCTCAGCCAGGGGTTCTGGGTAGTCTCTGTGCTGAGGGCTCTGCATGCACCAACTCAGTCTTTCTATAACCGCAGGAGAAGGATACTGTTATTGTTCTTTTCATTCTTCAGATGGAAAAACTGAAGCATAAGAGGTAAATAACTTGTCTCAGGCCATGGGGTCTTAGGACTCTTAACTACTATGTTTTGCTACCTCTTTTCAGTAAATACCTATATAAACTAAAGAGAGACAAGCACTACAAAAGAAAAGAAGAGGGGTTGGTGAAAGAGATTAAAAAGAGTGCCTACTGCGGTTTGGGAGATCAGGGAAAGTCACTCTAAGGATGAGATACCTGGGGATACCTGAGGATGTCTTAGCCAGGTGAAGATGGGATAAAAGCCTCACAAGAAGGGAGAACAGCATGTGAGAGGGCCCTGGGGCAGGAGAGGACTTCGGGAATTGTAGTAACTGAAAGGACAATGGGTTGGAGCTTATAAGACAAAATAGCCTGTAAGAAAGGAGGTCAGAAAAATAGTAGGGGTTAAGTCATTTCAGGGCCTGAAGAGGTTGGCTTTTATCTTAACAGCAGTGGGGTTCCATGAGAGGGTTAGAGGAGACCATGATCTTTGTTGTGCATAAAACGATGATGGAGAAGGCATTAGAGAGGGCTTGGCGGCGGGGAGGTGGGAGCAAGTTGGGAGGCTGATGCAGCCAAGTGGGCAAAGATGATCATGTCTGGTCACTGTGGCTGCAAAGGATAAAGAGAGAAGTAGAGAGATTTTCAACAGACTTTTATTTAAGTGCTGATGGGTGAGATGTAGCCTCTTGCCGGAAGCCTTTTGGGCGCTTGTCCATGCAGGCTCACCCTGACGAACCTTCTCTCTGCCCCCATGGTAATCCCCAGTGTTGGAGATGGGGCCTGGTGGGAGGTGTTTGGGTCATGGGGATGGATCCTTCATTAATGGCTTAATGTTGTCCTTGCAAGAGTGACTGAGTTCTTGAGAGATCTGGTTGTTTAAAAGTATATGGCACTTCTTCCCTTCCCTCTCCCACTCAATCCATGTGAGAGGCCTGTTTCCTCCTTTACTTCCTGAGGCTCTCACCAGAAGCAGATGCCAGCACCATGCTTCTTGTATAGCTTGCAGAACTGTGAGCCAATTAAACCTCTTTTCTTTCTTTTTTTCTTTTTTTTTTTTTGAGACAGAGCCTTTCTTGATCATGGCTCACTACAGCCTTCAACTGTTGGCCTAAATCAATCCTCCTACCTCAGCCTCTCAAGTATCTGCAATCACAGGTGTGTGCCACCATATTTGTAGAGACAGCTTCTCACTATGCTGCTCAGACTGTTCTCGAACCTTGGACTCAAGTGATCCTCTTGCCTTGGCCTTTCAAAGGGATAGAATTACAGGCATGAGCCATGGTGCCTGGTCTCAACCTCTTTTCTGTATAAATTATACAGCCTTGGGATCTCTTTATAGCAATGCAAGAATAGACTAACATAGTCACATGTTTCATGAGTCATTTTATATTAAATGCTCAGAATAGATAAATCCATAAAGACAGAAAGCAGATTGATAGTTGTCAAGGGCTCAGGGGAGTGAGAAATGGGGAATAGCTGCTTAGTAGTATGGGGTTCTCTACTGAAGTGATGAAAATGTTTTGGAACTTGATATAGTTGGTGGCTGCACAAGATTGTTAACGTTCTAAATGCTGCTGAATTGCATATTTTAAGGTGGTTCGTTCTACATTATGAGAGGTCATTTCAATAAAAAAATTTACAAAGAATATATGGGAATGAAATGCACTAGTTTCAGGTCCTCAGTGGTTAACTGAAGGACAGAGAAAGAATAAAAGGTGGATCTTTAGCTAAATTTATAATTTTTTAATTTCTTTATAACATAAAAGACCTGGAGGAAAACAAAAACCGTCACTACTTGGGCTATCCCTGAAAAATCTTTTGTATAGGGAAATGCAGCTAAGACTAGGGAGAATACAGTAGACAAGCAAGAAAGCAGTATTGGCTGCATTTCGGCTGATTTTTCTTTCCACTGAAGATTTTTCTTTCCTCTGACTTTTAACACAAGAGGAAGGACTTCGAGGTCAAGAGACTCAATTTGGTGTGCTGCGGCCACAGTTCCTATATTAGAATCAATGCAATAATGCAATGCTAATCTGAGATATAACAAACTGCAGAAATTGGCTTCTTACAATTAGTCTGTCTTTCCTCAGATGGAAAAGGAGTTGTGTGAGACAGCAGAGCACTTCAGGGTCAAGAACTCAGTCCCTACAATCAAGGTAGGATCGAGTATCGTGGAGAGAACCGGTGCCTCTAGTGAGTGGCTGCCCAGGTTACAGGTAAGGGGAGCTAAGGAACCCACCCTACTGAGAGGCCCCTGTACCCTGCCTGGTCCAGGCACTGTGTACATGTCAGCATGGTCAACTTTCAGAATCACCTCTAAGTGGGAGTTGGTTTGCCGGCACTTTGTACTGGAGGAAATGGAATCTCAGATGAGGAACATGCCTAAGGTCACAGAGGGAGTTGAACAGAGCTGGTATTCTGATCCTGTCTGCCCAGTGCCAGAGCCTATGTTCACGGTAGTGCCTCTAGTTCTAAAACAGAGCCTGGCATGTAGAAAGTGCTGGATATATATTTGTTCAATGAATTAATTAATAATAGCAAAATGAAATAATTTCTAATGGTGTTATTAGTTTGGTAAAGATGCAAAGAATTAAAACTAATTAAAGAGCAGGCACATTTATAGATTGTTCATGCAAATATAAAGTGGTATAAACTTTTAGGAGTGCAAAATTTATATTGGCAAATATATATAAAGAGTCTGAAAATTTTGCAAACCCTTTTTCCCAACACTTTCCCAGGATGTAATTTAAAGACAACAATTTTTAAAAAGTACTCAAAGCTCTACAGCAGTGGTAATCACAGTGTAACATTTTTTGATGTTATAAATGATTTGTTCTATAATTAAAGATTACTTAAATCAATGGCACATCAGCAAAAGGACTGTTTTGCAGTTCTTAAAAATCTATGTACTAAAAGAACATTTAATGACAAAGGCAAATCTTTTTTAACATATTGCTTAATGGAAAAAGGAGGCTACCAAATAGTGTCTCTAGTTTGTAACATTTATTCCAGTTTAAAAATAATATATACAGGCCGGGTGCTCATGCCTGTATTCCCAGAAATTTGGGAGGCTGAAGTGGGAGGATTGCTTGAGCTCGGAGTTTGAGACCAGCCTGGGCAACATAGTGAGACCCCATCTCTGATATCTCTCTCTCTCTCTCTCTCTCTCTCTCTCTCTATATATATATATATATATATATATATATAACAAATAAAAAGATGAGAAGGCCCAACACCAAAATATTAATGTAGCCACATTACTATACAGAGAGGTTATGGGCAATTTGTATTTTCTAATTTTATTTCTATTGTACTTTCCAACTATTTTTCAAGGGGAAATAAGCATATTCTTTTCGTCTTAGAAACAAGTCAATAAATGCTACATGAAAACAAAACAAACTTGCTCTACTCATCTAACGAACAATATCTTGTGTGGATGAAAAGAAATGTCCTTTTTCTTAAAGAAATAAATAATTGATAATGTAAAAGAGTGTCATTGAATATTTCTCTTAGTGTATTTTCTCTTCTTCCTCCTCCTCTTTTCTTTCTTATTTTTTTTGGTTCCTCAATGTACAACTGTAGCTCCTTCTCTTCCTGGTGCCAATCTTAAACATCTGGTTAATGATCTGAATTCTCTCCTTCTCCTGTGCTTTCTCATTGAGGAATTTGAAAGCAAAGAGTCTTGGATTTTAGACATTTGGGAATGGCCAAGATTTTGGACTTGTTTTGTGAAAAGATGTATTTGTTCAGTTGAGCAAGTGTGAAGCAAATGCTTTCAGCATGTCTATTAATCTTAGCAGTCTGAGTGATGTAAGGGTATGCACACTCATGTTTTATGATGTTTGGTTTCATAAAAATATGTTTGGTTTCAAGGCATTGGCCTCTATTCTCTGTTGACTAAGAACAAATTTGGAGTAAGGAAGGCATCTTGAATTGTATCCCAAACCTAGTTTGTTTTTTAATCATCAACTGGAACTCTATGATGGCTATGACTAACACATTTTGTGAGTTCATGAAAACATTTACTTTAATAGAAAAAAAAAATAGAACAACTCTAGAATCAGAGTGACTGACGCTATGTTTTGCCAAAGGATTCTTGCTGGAAGGTTCTACTGAGAGTTTTGAGGGCTATTACTGCTTATCACGCTGAGGAGAAATGGAGAGATTCTAAATTTAGGTCACAGATTCTAAATAGAAAAGGAAGCAAAACAAAGGGATATTCTAGTCAGGTTGGGGAACTCAAGCCTGATTTATAACCACTGAGATGCAGGCAGAATTCTCTTTTCATCACACCAGAGTTAATAATGTGTTCAATGGAAGAAAATGTGTTTGTACCCCCAAAGCCCTATTAGTGTGTTCTTTAACTTTAATCAAGCTGCAGAACTATGAGATGCCATTGGGCAATGCTTAGGTTATAATGTGTAGTGCAAAAGTCCTGATAGAAAATGTGCGCGTGTGATTTTGTAAGGAGAAAAATGAAAAGAAAGCCTCTACATTTTAAAAGACCAGAAAGAAATATCATGAAATGTTACTTGTTTTATGTTATGATCACAGATTTGTTTGTTATTTTCTCCCTTTCTGTATTTTCTGAAATTCTTAATGATCATGAATTTTTAAAATAATAAATGGTTTATTCATTCATTCAGCACATAGCTTCCAATCATTAAGTTTAGAGCTTCAAGAATGATTAAACTATTTATCTGCCCTGAAGAAGCATACAGAACTCTAGGAGAGACACCAATGGACACAAAGTGAATAGCTGCCATGAGAGAAGAATGCTTGAGGTCCAAGTGTGTATCAAAAAGGTAGTGCCCATTATACCTGTGCAGAGTCAAAATTTAAAAACAATTAAATACACATTGCAATGACAATGTTCAATATGCATGAAAGAAAACATACTGTCTCCTTGACTCTAGGTTGCTCTCTCCAGTTACATTTGTGTTTGAGAAGATTGGAACTAAAAACTGAGTTGACCCACTTTGTAGGGGCTGAGTAAGGATCACACAGTATTGTGGTTGTCAATTTGAGAAATCAGTCAGTCTCTCTGAGTCCTTGTCTCCATCCACAGAGGCTGTAACTTTGCTGATGCATCTTTTGAATGCTATTTATATTAATGTGCAGTTACCCTGCTTCTCTGTCTCATGTGTTTTAGAAAGTTAACCTTCCTTTTTAAACTACCATTGAAGCATATTCCTTTTAGCAAAAAGTACAGCAGTAAAGAGCTCAACAAATTGGTTAGAAATCAGTTTTTAAAGAGAGAATATGAGCTCTCAATTGGGTCTCACAGGATTTTCCAAAGAGATTGTGCATTAACTTGGACTCATTACTGTTTATTTTGGCTGTTGAGAAATCTTTTTGGAGTGTTTGCCAATTTTTAGCATACCATCCATGTTGCAAGTGATTGGGTTTATTCATATCGATTATCTCCGGGTCAAAGGAGTGTTATCCATTTGTTACACAAACATTTATTTAGTGCCTACTATGTGCCTGGCCTCTACTCAGAGCTAGTGCAATAGCAGTCAGCAACAGACAAGGTCCTTACCTTCTGGGGAGATGACAATAAAAACATAGACAGATAAGTAACCATGGAAATAGGTGGTAGAAGCACATGATATGAACACAGAGGATGGCTATGGAGGTTGTATGCAGGAGACTGCGTCTGTTATTATTGATCCCTGATGCTTGATGTCTTTAAAATGTGCTGTTCATTTTGCTCAAATTTGGTGTTGGTCATCTTGCTACAGTGGACAGTACCTGGGCTTTGAAGTCAGAGCCACCTGGGTGGTGCAACTCCCAGGAGAGTTCTATAACGGATCTGAATATCACTTTTCTCATCTCTGTTTTGCAGAGAAGACTGCACGCTGCCAGTGTTGATGTGACAGAGAAATGGGTTAGGCGAACAGTCTGTAGAACATATTAGGGGCTCAAAAACTGAGAGGGATTGATTCATGTTCTTTTTATGTGATCTGTGTCTCCTATAGCTCACTCGTTGAGATTGCTGGAATTCTAACAGTTTTGCCTTCTATAAAAATCTCCAGAAAAGTGGTTACACAGGTGCACTTGTGTCTTTTCAAGTTGTCTTTTAGTGTAATTTACTTGCCAGGTGTGGTGAGCTGCACAATAGCCTCCCAGAGATGTCTAGTTCTCATCCCAAGCACCTGTGAGTGTGTTTACCATACGTGGCGAAACGGGATTTGCAGATGTGATTAAATGAAGAGTCTTCAGATGGGCCGGTTATCCTGGATCATCTAAGTGGGCCCTGTGCTGTAATCACAAAAATCCTTTTAAGAGGGAGGCAGAAGTTCAGAATTATAGAAGGAAGGTGATGGTGTGGATGGAAGGAGAGGGAAACAATGAGAGAAGATGCTACCCTGAGGACTTTGAAGATGGAGGAAGAAGCCCTGTGCCAGAAAATGTGGGAAGTCTAGAACAGTGCTCCTCAAACGTTTTGGCACCAGGAACTGGTTTCATGGAAGAAATTTTCCCACAGACTGGTGGGGGTGGGAGTGGGAGATGGTTTAGGATGATTCAAGTGCATTATGTTTTTATTGTGCACTTTATTCTATTATTATTATACTGTAATGTATAATGAAATAATTATACAATTCATGATAAGGTAGAATCAATGGGAGCCCTGAACTTATTTTCCTGCAACTAGACCATCCCCTCTGGGGTGATCAGAGCCAGGACAGATCATCAGGCATTAGATGCTCATAAGGAGTGTGTAACCTAGATCCCTTGCATACATAGTTCACAATGGGGTTCGCACTCCTGTGAGAATCTAATGTTCCTGATCTGACAGGAGGTGAAGCTCATGTGGTAATATGAGCAATGGGGAGCAGCTGTAAATACAGATGAAGCTTCACTGACTCACCTGCCACTCACCTCCTGCTGTGCTACCCCGTTCCTAATGGGCCTTGCACCAGTACTGGTCTGTGGTTCAGGGATTGGGGACTTCTGCTCTAGAAGATAGAAAAGGCAAGGAAACGGCATTTCCCCCAGAGCATCCCAGAGGAATGTAGCCCTGGAAGCCCATCTGAGACTTCTGACTTTCAGAACCATAAGATGGTAACTGCTCCACCAGGTTTGTGATCATTTGTTACAGCAGTTATAGAAAATTAATATACCAGGGGAAGCCAGGAGACCCTGCTAGGGCTGTAGGCAACAAAAAGAATAGGGGTGTCTGGGTTGGTTTGGACAGTGATTTCTGAAGCCA